TATAAAAGCACAGCCATGTCCATAAACAGAACACCTTGGGTCACAGGTTGTCTGATGACACTATAGTCCTCACTGCTCACTTGCTGCTCTTTTCACAAAATCAAACAGCTGAAAAAGCTTAGAACTTAAGAAAATGAAGAATTCAGCTAGGATCATGCCAAATTAGAGTCAGCTGTGATCTAACATCAGGCCCAGGATGCCGGCTCAGCAAAGCCAAACAATTATAGTGTATTATGCAGCTGCTTTCAGATGTGGACAAGTATGCCATTAAGGGCAGAGATAAAGAAACAGATGTTCATTTATGACCTAAATGAGAACAAACCTGCTTGGACAAAAAAGACTGAAACCTGCTCTCATAATTTTAAATTCATTCCAATTCTTTGGGTAAGAAAAACATACTCAAAGAAAAACGGAGTAGCACAGGAAAATTGCAAACTTGCCTTAAAGCACCTCTATAAAAATGTTTTGCAAATGATGCATTAGGTATCACAACACAGCAAGGTATGTGCCACCAATCCAACATTCCAACCAAACTCACAGGCTCAGCAATTCATCTACAGAGAAAAGGGGTCCTGCCAGGCCAGAACCCCTAGTTCCCAGTAGCCTGTGCCCAAGCTACTGATTCCACCCTCCTCCCCTCCCCTTTACACTTCTTTCATAATTACCAGAACATTACTGCTACATGCTGCTGGCATGGGATTCCCCGCTGAGAAAGACTATTTTACTTCAGTAATTAATCAGCTGGAAGACCATTAACCTCTCACAGCACCCAGTCTTTGAATTGCCCAGACAACTTTGTTGAGCAGCCATGACACTAAAAAAAAGTTTAATCTTCCCTCTGATGTCAGCTCTATGGATTAGTCCCATTCTGGGTGCAAGAGCAGCTGAGAAAGGACATGTATGTACTGTGCGCATCTCAGGAATTGTGATGCACAAATACAGATCACTTCACCCCTAACGAGATAACAGGGTCACACTCACTGTATAGATAAAGGAGCTGCTGCTAGAAGACACTCAAAATGCTTCACTGGTGCCTGTACATCAATAATTTAGGAACAACAACAATTGTATGGGATGCAGCACTCTGCTCAGTTAGAAAGGCTCCATCTTTGACCACAGCACTAGACCTGACTTTTTCTTATGAGAAGCACAGTGATACCTTTCACAGCAAAGCACCCAATCCCAGCTATCAGTACAAAACCTGCATGTCAGATTTCAGTCCCTGCACAGGAAGATGCCTTGAGTAAACTATGTTGATATAAGAAACTAATATTGACTTTTGAAGTCTAGATCCTAAATATTTACATTTCTAATGATTGTTTTTTAAATTAATTAGAAGCTAGAAATCTAAATATTTTGTCAAACATAGGCCTAGGTTTTTCCACCCAGAAGCTCCTTCTAGCAAAACAAATCTAAACCATTCAACTCTCCTCCCAGCCAGAAAAAGGTTATCCTCTCTGACAATGAGTATTTTTATTCAAGCAAGAAAAAATGAGGGGATCATTCCCAGTAGCTACTACTTTACAGGGTAAGTTTGTCATTCTTGCCTTTTTAGCCATGGCTTTTTAAGCTTTATCACTGGTATTTATTTGATGAGAAATTCTGTTCCTCTACTCATTCCTGTTTTTATACAGGATGCATGTAGTACTAGAAAGGTAGTAGTTTAAACAGATAGCTGAAGAACCTTGTGCCTTTTGGAGGGCTACAAGGAAACATAGGATCCATGGGGTGGTTTCTAAGCCCAAAGCTACCAGAAAGTTTGCCTCAAAAAAGATGACAAACCACTCCCCACCTCCACCTTCCTAAAACTCTCGTAGTTAAGCATTAAGACAAAAGGTAAAAGTGAGCCTCCTGAGTCTGGCCAATTTTTCATCCTTATTTGGTTTTAAACAAAAAGAGCATTACAGCAACACTGCCCAAAGCATCTCCTGGTCCTAAAGCAATCTCTACAAATTATTTTGTGGGAGCATGGAGAATGCCGCCTATTAGGAAAGCTGTCTTACTGATTTCAGCAGAAACTGTGCTAATCAGTCATACAAGTTCCTCAATTAAATCCCATATCAAACCTGTCTATGAATGCCAGGGTGGTCCTGGGAGGTAGATTTAAAAGGAGAGTTTATCAAGTGGAATGAAAATAGAGAAGATTCTTAGGGGAAAAAAAAAAATCAGAATATACCTCAGGGATGTTATTTCAAGGAAATGAACTTGCTATAACACAAGGTGGGAGATGTGGTTATAAGGTATACTTCCTGGATCACATATTCTTCACACACTGACAGGGTGTGAAAATGACCTCTAAGAGCTCCATATGGTGATGAATGAGGCCAATGTCCTGGGAACCTCTAGCATCAAGTGTTCACATAAGTGAGGATGAAAATGCTCAAGGCAGCAAGCACTTGAGGAAGCAGCCAAAAAAAGGTATCAGACATTCAGAAAATTGGCTCAGATGGAACATGAAATGCCCTTAGGAGACACAACTGAAGTGCAGATGAAACCCTGTCCAGCAAAGGCACACTATACAAAGCTGCAGATGGACGACAGGAACATCAGAAAGATACAGTTACCTGCTGCCAAATTTTGCAAAACATGCTTTCAAAGGCAGTTTTCCTCAGCAGTAAGCAGAAATCGCAGAGCTTAACACAGCTACCTGGGACTGTGCTGCCAAGGCAGGTGAGAGGCGAACAGTATGGCTTTCCAGTAAAGCTTTGCTGTTGAGGATACAGACTACAATACAAGGGAGCTGTGATATCAGAATATTAAGTTAGACAGAACCAGCAAGGGCAGCTGAGACAAAGCCAAGAAGACAACAGATCGTTAAGGCTTCCTATTGCTTCATGTCCCTGTTGTCTGTTAATGTCAAAGCACATTAAAAAATATGTTGTCAAAGGGATCAAGAAAAATGTGGATTGCTCAAAAAAACCCAAACACCAAGACAGGTTTGTGGAGGGGCCTGAAAACCAAATTTCTAAGAGAGTATACAAGTATGGAAAAAAAATGCAAGTGCTGATGTTCTGAGGATGCTGTGACAAAGAAATATGCAAAGACTATAAACACTGCAGAAGAATTTTTCTTTTTAAAGGTGAATCAATAAGAGTAACAATAAAGGGGTAAAGACCGAACCTGAAAAGATTGAAGAGGATTGCACAGGCATTCCCCAACACTACAGATCTAGTTGAAATAGCCAAATGATCTGAGAAAAGAGAACGCTTATGGAAACATCATCCCCCAAAGGTCATAAAAATACATTACAGGAGATTACAGGAGTGCAGAAAACACACACGCTTTTGAAAACCACATATACATTAAACTGAGGGAAGTACCGAGGCCCAAATGTCAAAACGCAAAAGTAATAGCTCCTCAAATCCAGCAAGAACAATAGCTTAATGTAGATAGTTAAAAAAAATCCAGCAGGTTTCTTACACAGAGCACTACTGATGCAGCACAGGCCTGTGTTCCAAATGAACCACAAAGTTCAGATTTATTTTTAAAAGGTTCTAAAAAAAAATAATTGAAGAGTGAGTGAAAGCACAACTTCAGTTGCTCAGCATGTTACTTTAGGATTCTGGGGAAGACAAAATGCTTTCCATTCAAAACTTAGTTTCAAAATTCATTTTCCAAACAGCCCAATTTTACCTGGTCACTTGAGCAACTCTCATTTCTGTGCCAGAGGCAGGAGCAGTTTTAAGACACACACAGTTGATATCCAGGAATAAAAAAGGTAGACATCCTCCCCTATTCTACCCTCTATATAACACAGATAGGATCTATTACACACACTAGTTAACACATTTGCACATATTTATGTATTCCTGCTAAAAAAATCCTACAAGTTTTCATATTGCTCTGAAGAGTGTCAGCAAGGAGCAGGTTCCAGGCACAAAAATACCAGTATCTGATCATTATGGGTAGCCTCTACATTCTACAGATAGGAAAAAACCCCCAACAAACAAAAAAATAAACAAACAACTTGGTTTTGGTACACCAAAAAAGGTATTTCACTTCTACTTCAGAGGATGAACATAGTGAATGAGATATTTATTTAGAGCTTACCAGAACATAAGCCAATTATTCAGAACAAATCCTCATTAATCAATGAAAGAGAAAGCCAGATGTGCTTACTCAGTCAGCATGGGAGGTAACAGAGAAAGTCCAGGTGCAGAGGGTAGCCTACATCATTGATATATAGTTACCATTTCCATTTTTGCTCCTCTTCTTTTTTCGGCTTCTTTCTCTTGTCCGCTTCAGGGACTTTCTTATCTTTGCTCTTAGCTTTCTTTACTTTGCTGTCCTGCAAAATGAGTAAGAATCTGTTAGAACAAGCTACTGTGTTTCCCCCTTCCCTGAAAACATGTTTTAAAACTAAAAGACTGTCTCTGGGGGTATCTTAAGTTTGACCACAAACAACTGAATTGCTGTGGCCTCATTACATAAATGCACCCTTAGATCATCCTATTAAGTCAAAGTCTGCTGACGGTCCCACTTATATTTTAAGCCAAATTCTTTTACTTTACACTTAGGACATGCTAAGTGCAGCCACAGCCAGTTATTCTGCCTCACCTGATAAGCAGCAAGTCTGGGCCATAGCAAAGTGATTGCTTAGTTATAGAAACACCCTCCTTGGCCTGCACTAGTGCGTCTACCCTGGCAGATGCTACAGAGCACACTTACACAGAGGTGGCTTCTGAGAACGTGCTGGTATGTGCTCGCTATAGAGACACTTTCATTGAAGGGAAGAATTAACCATGTGCCTCACGAGGGTATCTTTGCTAGATGTGGAGCATAGTTCATTAGTCTCAAATTATGGCTAACCTCTCTTTGCCAAGTCCCTCTCCAAAGAAATTTCCACCCTAGGCTTCATCTAAAAGCTTTAAGTGTCTTTCTAGCAGCTAATCTCTGTTTCATCTCCTCTGCTTCTGAACTG